CACACACACACACACACACATTAACGGAATCAAACAAAATTTATGACGAACGTTTGTGCTGCCAAATGTTTTGTTTTTATTGTTTTGGCTTGCTGTTCGTGAGTAAATCAGTGTGGCTGAGATCAAAGTTATTAGATTGGATTAGATAAAATAAAACTTTATTAATCCATCGGGTGGGTTCCTCTGGGATTTTCACACAGCTGAATAAACGTCAAACAGAAAACTGATTAAACAGAAGTGTACTTTTATATTTTAGATAGCAAGGAGCAGACGGACGAGTTTATTAAACTCCACCGACACAGCGGTGACGCAGATCTGAAGGCTAGACCATCACATTTCACAGCCGTTTACTTCCGGTCTATCCGACCTTCTGAGGACCCCTGCCCATGTAGACCCCGAAGGACGGGAGCTCAGGAGGATGCAGCCTATGAATTTGGACACCCCTTTTGTGTGTGTTTATCTCTGTTCTTTGTACGAGCATCTGTTTGTCATGCCCTGTGTTACCTCAACCCTCAGTCTCCTCGCTTTTCAGGTTTAGTTTCATGTTTCTTAGTTTTAGTTTTAGCGCCTCGAGGCGACTTTTGTTGTGATTTGGCGCTATATAAATAAAATTGAATTGAATTGAATAGTTTTCCCAGTTTAGGTTTTCCTTAGTTTCTGTTCATGCCACCCCTGCTTCTGTTTGTAACCCCTCACTTGTAAATACACTCACTCGGGGTAACCAGTGCCAGCTCTTGGGTCCACTTCTCTCTCTCTCGCCGCATGATTTGCCTCTGCAAATTGTGATGCCTTTAGTTTTCAGCACTGGTGTGCGTAACATATATTGTGTTCATATTACCTCTGTTCTGCTAATCTCAAGCAGATTTGGCATAGCTACATCTTACTAATTAGCCTTAACAGTGTAATGGTTCATAATGTGGGTTCAAACACAGTTTTTTCCTCATTTATACTGTAATCTTTTTAGGTGTTACTGATAATATCATTACAGTTCAGCTGATCCAGGGTGGTGGCATTGTGCTTGCTGGTGTGGATTACTGGAATACTGGATGGTACTGAGACACCTGTGATTTTCCTCCTCCTTATAAATACAAACCATCAGAAGCCCTTTGATTAAACAGCTGATTTAACTTGTTTTGGAAAAAAAAAACCCTGCTCTGTGACTTCATGATTCTTCGTGATTCAAGTCTGAACATCTACCCTGAAAATGTGTGTGTTTTGGGGTGGGTGGGGGGATTTTAAAAAATGGTTCTCATGAAATACTGTAATGGTAACATTATGTGAACATTTTATTTCTGAAAGCAAATAGCAAGCTCGATCTGCCAGTAAGTGATAACAAGAAGAAGAGGGAACATGTTTACAGGCACGCTGAAGTGCAGGTTCATGTTTGTAGTGCCAGGAATGGACCTGAAGATGATAAACAAAGAGGTCAAAATAGATCTTATGACACTTTTTTGTAAATAAGCAGGTTATTAAAGACTTGAATCCAGAGCAAGTGAAGAGCTTGCACATGCTCAGGTTGAGACACCTGAAACACAGGAGTTTTATTGAGATAGAAAAATGACAACAATGTGACACCAATAAACCAGGAAACAAAAAAACATGAGCAGAGACTCCACCCTTTCACCAACAGAAGTTACAGAATGTGAGCAGAATATATATACACATATATAAATACAGAGACATATATAAAAAAGAGAATACAAAAGGGATAAATAGAATAAATAGGAATAAGAATACAAGGGAATTGCACATTTCAAGTATTGAAGTCTATTACACTGTTGGTTATTAACAAAAAGTATTGCACTGAAGAGGCACTACAGCTTAGTTGTTCCCCCCTCCTTTGTCCCCCTGTCTCCCCTCCCCTCCAGAGAGGAGTTAAACAGTCTGATGGCGTGTGGGACAAAGGAGTTTTTAAGTCTGTTAGTTCTTGTCTTTGGGGAGAAGCAACCTGTCACTGAACAGACTCTTCTGGTTGTTTATGGCCGTGTGCAGAGGATGCCCAGCATTGTCCATAATGTCCAGCAGTTTCTTTAGTGTCCTTTTCTCTGCCACTGTCACCAGAGTGTCCAGCTTCATGCCGACCACAGAGCCAGCCTCCTGATCAGTTTCTCCAGCCTGGATGAGTCCTTCTTTGCTGTGCTGCTCCCCCAGCACACCACAGCATAGAAAAGTACTCCAGCAACCACCGACTGGTAAAACATCCTCAGGAGCTTCCTGCAGATGTTAAAATTTTAAATTTAATTCTAATTTTGATTTTACGAAGATCAATGAAAGATGAGAAAGAACAGGAATTCTCAGAGAAAAGACAAAAAGCGTCTCTTACTCAGGGGAACACATCGCTGCATCTTTCGAGGTGAAGTTGGAGTTTGATAGCACTGAAACCAATAACTCACAAAAATCTTTCAGGGTAATGTTGTTTTACCATTTGTGTAGTCTACACACTCAACCTTTTGAACAATAATTGAGTAACTGGCATTTTAACTAGGGAATGACTTACACTCGCTTCACTGGCCTCTTCATTAGGTACACCTTGGTAGTCCTGGGCTGGCCCCATTTTTCATATGGAGAGGGGTCAATTAATTGATACCCAATCAACGACGGCACCAGTGGTTGTGAATTTTTCACTCACTCTGTGTCTACACACCTCTCTGCATTTAATTATTAGTTATTCTTAATCTCTGGCTCTCTTCCACCGTGTGTCTTTGTCCTGTCTTATTCACCCTTATTCACCCCCAGCCTGGCTGACTGAGCCTGGGTGTGCTGGAAGTTTCTTTCTGTTAAGTTTTCCTTCCCATTATTGCCAAGTGCTTGATGTTACTGTTGTTGTGATTTGGTGCTTTTTAAATGAAATCGAACTGAAAAAAGACTACTCTACCTCACCAATACCTGAAAATATTAAAGAAAAATATGATTATTAATCTGTGAAGGTTCTCAGTCATCCAGGTCATCGTAGTCAAAGGAGCTTGCAAAGAAAAGCGTCTGGACTTCTTTAAGTTGCTTGAAGACGTTTCACCTCTCATCCGAGAAGCTTCTTCAGTTCTAAGGAACTTGGAGTAATTAGGACCC